TACATGCTGTTGGGGAAAAAATGACCTTGATAGACTTGCTCAATGCAGGGTTGCCACAACCTTCAATTGGTTAAAAAAAAAAAAATCGCAGTATCTGCCTATTTGGGAAAAACGTTCAAACCATGTTTTCACTGTGCTCTCACACCACAATTAACACAGAAGACTTCCGTGACCAGCTAGATGTACTCCTATTAAATTCCAGTACTCTTGTCCAGGTGTGGTGGCTCACACCTCTAATCCCAGCACTTTGGGAGGCCAAGGCAGGCCTGGGGTCAGGAGTTCGAGACCAGCCTGACCAACATGGTGAACCCCATCTCTACTAAAAATACAAAATTAGCTGGGCATGATGGCACATGCCTATAATCCCAGCTTCTTGGAGGCTGAGGCAGGAGAATCTCTTGAACCCAGGCGGTGGAAGTTGCAGTGAGCTGAGATTGCGCCATTGTACTCCAGCCTGGGCAAGAAGAACAAAACTCCGTCTCCAAAAAAATAAAATTAAAATTAATTCCACTACTGCCTACCTGAAGAGAGTGTCAGATCCCACAGGTTGAGGGCTCAGTCCCCAGGACTGTGCCCCAGCGCAGGCACCAGTCACAAGTCCAGGCTTCCAGAACTTTTGACCAATTGGCTTCAAGTTGGCGTTCCCACAGCCCCCTCTTTCAGGTCACTTAATTTGCTGGAGCAACTCATGGAACTCAGAGAAACACACTTACATTTACCAGTTTATTACAAGGGATGTTACAAAGGAAACAGATGAAGAGATATGTAGAGCAACCTATGGGGGAAGGAGCTTCTGTGACCTCCCTGGGACACCACCCTCCTTGAACCTCTATTTGTTCAGCTATCTGGAAGTTCTCCAAACCCACTCCTCTTAGGTTTTTATGGAAGCTTTGTGACATCCGCATTTCCTCCACCAGGGTAGGAGGGGGAAAGGACCCTCTGATTTTTCATAAGACCTACAGTCAGAAAGGCAGGAGTGGTGATTAGAGTTCTACCTTGGGGCAGGTAAAAGGAGAACAGGAGGAGGTCAGAGATACTCTGTTTTTTGAGGCCTGCCCCTAAGGCCTAATGTACCTACCATTAAACAAAAAAACTGTAACAAGGGATATGGGAGTTACGAACTAGGATCTTCAAACAAAAACATAATACATGTCATAACACCATACTGTGAAATACAATAACATGAGATTGCCTGTACTTAAATGTCAACAATGGTATTATGGTGACATGCTCCAAAGGCAATTTCTTTGCTTTAGAGAATGTAGCCTCACCAGTCATCCCTTCCCAAGGATGCCGGTTGTAGAGTTTTAATGACTAAGACATTTCTACCTCCAGAGATGACAGATTAATAGTATAGAACACAGCTCTGTAAACTGCTGAGGACCTGAAATAGATACAAACGAGGCATTGCCCATTGGTAGTTTTAGTAAGTAGTTCATCTGATACCATCAGGTTTAAAAGTGTACCAGCCTCCTAGGGCTGCCCTAACAAAATACCACAGACTGAGTGGTTTTACAGAAATTTATTTTCTCAATGTGGTATATGTATGTATGTGGACTGCTACTCATCCATTTAAAAAAGTATGAAATAATGTATTTTGCAGCAACTTGGATGGGACTAGGGCTATTATCCTAAGTGAAGTAACTCAGGAACAGAAAACCAAATACCACATGTTCTCACTTAAAAGTAGGAGCTAAGCTATGTGTACACAAAGGTATATAGAGAGGTATAATGGACATTGGAGAATCAGAAGAGTGGAAGGAGGGTGGGAGGGGGATGAAGAATGAAAAATTACCTCTGGGGGGCCGGGCACAGTGACTCACATCTGTAATCCCAGCACTTTGGGAGGCCGAGGCAGGCAGATCACCTGAGGTCAGGAGTTCAAGACCACCCTGGCCAACATGGTAAAACCCCTTCTCTACTAAAAATACGAAAATTAACCAGATGTGATGGCAGGTGCCTGTAATCCCAGCTGTTCAGGAGGCTGAGGTAGGAGAATAGCTCAAACCCAGGAGGTGGAGGTTGCAGTGAGCTGAGATGGCACCAGTGCACTCCAACCTGGTGACAGAGCAAAACTCTGTCTCAAAAAAAAAAAAAAAAAAAAAAAAATTACCTGTGGGGTACAATGTATACTATTTGCATGACAGGGTACACTGAAAGCCCAGACTTCACCACTGTACAGTTCATCCATGTAACCAAAAACCGCTTGTACCCCTAAAGCTATTGAAATAATTTTTTTTTGAGGAAGAAATTTATTTTCTCACAATTCTGGAGGCTGGAAGACCAAGATCAAGGTGCTAGCACAGTCGGTTTCTCCTGCAGTCTCTCAAGTTCGCTCGTAGATGTCCACTTTCTCACTGCATCTTCCTCTTATAAAAACACCAGTCCTGTTGATCCAGGCCTCACCCATATGACTGTTTAACCTTCATTACCTCCTTAAAGGCCATATCTCCAAATACATTCCCACTAGGGCTAGGGCTCCAGCCTATGAATTTTGAGTGACACAATTCAGTCCATAACAGTCACAGATTGCAGAACAAGTTTACAGGTACTAGTGGATCATGCCAAATTGGTGTGCCATATTTGGTTCTGTAAAGAGAGAATAATCAAGAGGTACTGTAATAGGAAAGGTGTAATGTGGGCTCTCATAGGCTTTTCGGACCCCTGTGCCTCTGAAGGGATTCTTTTATCAAGACATCCCTATGTGTAAAATTCAGGAAAATTTTTCGAACTTCGCTTGATAAGTTTCAGATTGTCCAAGGTCCATACAGTGACACAGCCTGATGTAGGACTTCCTAAGTGATTCTGTTGCCTAAGCCGAATCTCCACTGCTCTCCTTCTCAACAGCCACCTAGGGCTCCAGACAAATGAGCATACATTAACCTCATATTTGCATAAGACTCATTAAATTTGAGGTGTTTCAGTCTACCACAGCCAGGATAAGGAACAACAGGAACAAACCATCCCAGAGTTTCCTGGAACTGGGGAAGAAGAAACAAAGAAGGGAAGGAAGGAGAGAGAGAGGCTGGGTTTAAGTCTTGATTCTATCACTTACTAGTTGACTTTAGGGAAGTTTCTAAATTTCTCTGGACATCAGATTTCTCTTTTGTAAAATGAAAATAAGGATACATGGCCTCACCAAATTGTCAAAGGATTAAGCAAAATGACACCTCAACAACTAGCATGCTATCTAGAACATGGTAAGCACTCAGTACGTTTTTGCTTTCTTCTTCTGTTGTGATACTACTAGGTAAAAGAGAAATTTGGAAAACAAAGAGAAAAGTTAAAAGTTCCAGTTTTACATAAGTGGTTTAACATCAATTTCTAAAGTTATAAAAATGTATAAGCCTTAAATAACACCCCACATCGCATGTGGTAAATTAGGTAATCTGTTAAGCTGTACAATAGGCATTGCATTTGAGCCATTTGAATTGAATTTTCATTACTGCCCTTATATGGTGACAGCAGAATGAGTTGAGCTCATTCATTAGACTTGCCTGGTTGATGTGTTAATAAATATTGTTAAATGGATTAAAAGGTACCAGAAACAGTTATGTGAGCTATAATGGAATCCTCTGGTTAAAACTCTTCTGTGCCTTTCCATTGACCATATTATTGAGTCAGAACTTTTTCAACATGCACGATCTGAGCCCTATTTACTCCTCTCCTACCCTTCTATCTCAGCTCTCACATCCAAGGCCAGCTTCCCACCACATTGGACTCTTAGGTTTCTCTTCCCTGAACTCTCACATGTGCTGTGCACACTGGTACATACTACATATATGTAACTATATGTGTAATTTTCCATTACATATGTAGTTGTATAACCTATACATTTTCAGATACTGTTTATGTAGAGAGTAAAACAGCATAAATGTATTACTTAGTATAGATGTTATTATGGCCTACTTTATACAGTGTATCAGATCTAAATCTAAAATGAAATGAGATCTTCCTCCTTGTAACTACTATAAAGGATTTTTTTTAATTTTTTTTTTTTTTTTTTTTAGAGAGAAGGTCTTTCTGTGTCACCCAGGCTGAAGTATAGTCGTGCAGTCATAGCGCACTGCAGCCGCCAAACCCCGGGACTCAAGCAATCCTCCCACCTCAGCCTCCTAAGTGGCTAGGACTGTAGGCACACATTACCACACCCAACTAATTTTTTTTATTTTTTTGTAGAGTGATGGGGGTTCTGGCTTTGTTGCTCAGGCTGATCTCAAACTCTTGGCTTCAAGCAATTCTCCTGCCTCAGCCTCCCAAAGTGCTGAGATTACAGGCATGAGCCACCATGCCCAGCCAAGGATTTTTAAATGCCTGTGCAGCCACTGCCATATCATTTCGACTTGGGTTTTCAAAAGAAAAGGAAACCGAATTTAATGATTACTGTAACACAAAGAAGGGGATTCTCATAAAAAGGCTTTTCTTCTTAAATTCATATCAAGTACAAAGCTCATAAGGATACTTTTTAAAGGTAGAAAGCTTAAGTTGTTGATATTCAACATAAAAAAATATATGTGTGTTTAGAGAAATTTATCTCAAAAGAGGCATTAACAATAAACCAAGTGATGAAATCAGGTTGTTCCATTGAGCTTTGCTTTTTGTACAACTGTAGATCTGAATAATTTTGTTTCAGATGCATCTGCTTAGCACAGAGGAGACATAAAGGTAGTATAAAACAATTCTAAAAAAGTAAATGGTGTGCAAGCTTTTTAAATTTGCTTCACAAGTAATTCACTTAAAAAAATTAACATCTGCTATTTTGAAGCTAATCTTAGTGTATTGAATGCTCATAACCATTTCTCAATCCCACAGTGTTTTATCTTGCTTCTCCTGCTGTGTTCCCACCACCCCTCATCCCATTAGCAAACCTTGAGACAGCCTCACACTTACCAAAGTACTGCTTTGGTTTCAGCTGCTCTTCTGCAAGAGGAAGTGAATGTTGGGGGTTTTCTCTGTGGTACAGTTGTGATAAAGCTGTGGTGGTCTTATCTCTCTCTTAGGTAGTGGCTCTTTATGACTACACAGCGAATCGATCAGATGAACTAACCATCCATCGCGGAGACATTATCCGAGTGTTTCTCAAAGATAATGAAGACTGGTGGTATGGCAGCATAGGAAAGGGACAGGAAGGTTATTTTCCAGCTAATCATGTGGCTAGTGAAAGTAAGTTTTATGCTCCCTTCCTGGTTTACTAATATGGTATAACTGATAGTCCAAGATTTTATCATTTTCTAGTCTTTAATTTACTGTCTTTGTAACCTTTGCATATGTTTGCCAATGGGTATTGCTTTTCATTCCCATGATGTAAAAAAAAAAAAGAAAGAGAGAGAGGAGGCACTAGTACATTAGAAAGCTGCAACATTCTGAGATTGGAATGTTTGTTTCACGGACTTCTTATCCCAGGGGACCATGCCCCTCTAGCTGCCAGCTTTCTTATTCAACTCATTTGACCCTGCCACCTGCTTCATGCACAGTTCTGCCAGTTCTTCTCTTGCCACAGTGACTCCTCAGTTGACTGGCATCTTAAGAGCCTCTAGTTCCCCAACTGCAGTTCTTTTACTTTGTATACCTCAGTCCTAGCTGGTAACCTGCGAAAACAAAACTACAATAAATTGTTTCCTTCTCAAGTAAATTTAGCCCTCATTTATGGAAAAAAAAATGAACTAGACAAGAAAATCTTCATGTGAGTTTCTGAGAGCTGTAGATTCACCACTAGGCCTTGAGAGGTGAAAACAGAACTAATACAGAGAGCCTGAAAACAAAAAATAATAATAACTTTAAAACTATCATTAAAGGGAAGAAGTATAGTAGTGCTTCTTCAGAAGAATGCATCCTATCCACAGTTAACTTGATAGCATGTTAGGAAAAGCACAACACTCGGGTCGGGAAAACTGACTTCTAACCTCAGCTCAACAACTTACACTGATATGCCCCAGTTTCCTTCTGTAAAATGAAGAAATTGAGGGATATCTTCTGTAAGCACTAAAATTGTGGTTCTGATTCAAAATGTAATACGGGCAGGCCAGGCGCGGTGTTTCACGCCTGTGATCCTAGCACTTTGGGAGGCCAGGGCAGGCAGATCACTTGAGGTCAGGAGTTCGAGACCAGCGCAGCCAACATGACAAAACCTTGTCTCTACTGACAATACAAATAATTAGCCAGGTGTGGTGGAGGCTGCAGTAATCCCAGCTACTTAGGAGGCTGAGGCAAGAGTGCTTGAACCAGGAAGGCATAGTTTGCAGTGAGCCAGGATCACACCAATGCAGTCCAGCCTGGGAAACATGCAAAACTCTATCTTAAAAAAAAAATGTAGTGGGCCAGGCGCGGTGGCTCAAGCCTGTAATCCCAGCACTTTGGGAGGCCGAGGTGGGTGGATCACAAGGTCAAGAGATCGAGACCATCCTGGTCAACATGATGAAACCCCGTCTCTATTAAAAATACAAAAAAATTAGCCGGGCATGGTGGCACGTACCTGTAATCCCAGCTACTCAGGAGGCTGAGGCAGGAGAATTGCCTGAACCCAGGAGGCGAAGGTTGCGGTGAGCCCAGATCACGCCATTGCACTCCAGCCTGGGTAACAAGAGCGAAACTCTGTCTCAAAAAAACAAAACAAAATGTAGGGTAGGCAGCCTTGAAATTGAGAACAATCTGTATCTTGAATATTTAAGTCTTTTGTTTCTGCAAAGAAATAATTATTATAAATAATAGTTGGTTTTCAGGCTAGTCCACGAAACTGTTTAACCCAAAACTACGACTAAACAAAAATATTGATTCTAACTTAAGTTTTGAAATTTGACAGCCAAAGAGTTGAAGGAATGAAAGAAAAATTTTCTTTGTGATTACCAGATGCTGGGCTAAGCTGGGCTAAGCCTAGATAAAATTATCTATCTTTGGCACCTTCCCACGACCTTCTCTGCACCCAGATTCTTCCCAGTGCTCCCCTCCCCAGTCTTTCAAGTGGCCCTAAGTCTCATTGCAGCTCCCTTCCTCAGTTTATCTACCAGTCAGCAAACACCTCCCCTAAAAAGTGCTATGTGTCTCAAAACTTACACCACTTCTCACTCCCACTCTTAATTTCTTTTGTGTAGCTGTTTTAGTTATCTTCTTGTAAGTAATAAATGACATATAACTCCTTTTTTTTTTTTTTAAAGACAAGATCTCACTTTGTCACCCAGGTTAGAGTACAGTGATGCAATCACGGCTCACTGCCACCTTGACCTCCCGGGCTCAATCAGTCCTCCCATCTCAGCCTCCTGAGTGCTGGAACTACAGGCGTGTGCTACCATCCCAGCTAATTTTGACATGTAACTCTTAAACTCTATGAGAGGTATATTTTTCTGTTTAGAAAAGGTTGCGTAATGGAAAAAACACAAGGCAATATGAAAGGAAGAAATTTTAGGACAGGTTAATTCCTATGTAGGCGTAAGACAGCATGTAAGTTCCATAAACTCAGCACTTCTAACTTCCAGATTATCTAAAATAGCCAAGTTCCTTCTTCCCATTGTTGGCTCTCCCACAGGGTCAACAGCTGAGGTTAAACAGGGGTAGCTTCTGTTTAAATCAAGCTTTTTAAATCAAGAACTGCCGGCACAATCATAGTCAGTCTGGAGTATGCCTCATTTTAACAAGATATTAGAATCCACTGGTCTTTTCGTATACCAGTGGAAATTTTTTTTTTTTAATTTTTCACTTGTGTATCTCTAGGCAGGGTGGGATTAGTGCTTTAATTTTAGAATCTAGTTTACAAAAATAACCTCTTAGGCTTGCAGATCTTGAGAGAATATAGATATCTGATCTACAGTGAATTAAAAAGCTATTAAGGCTAAATGCAGCAGCTCATGCCCGTAATCCCAACACTTCAGAAGACTAAAGAGGGAGGATCACTTGAGGCCAAGAGTTTGAGACCAGTCTTGGCGATATAAGACGACTCCATCTCTAGAAAAATACATTTTTTAAAAAATCTAATAAAGTATGTTCTTCTTCCATAATGACCAAAGCCAGACCTCTGAAGCATATTGCAGTGATAAGTGATGGCTACATACAGAAATCAATTCTTTGTCTCAGTAGTGAACATCCTCAACTGCCATAATTCCTTATTGTATCCCAGAATAATTTATGTCTTCTTTTGGCATCAATCACTGCTTCTTTAAAAAGCCTTGTAAAGACCAGATCAAACAGGAAAAGAAAAAGAAAACTTAGAAAATCTGAGACTATAATGATTGAATTCTCCCGCTTCATTAGGGGTTCCCTTTCCCTTTTATTCCTTTGTTTACCTGAATTTAACAAAAAACTCAATTGCCCAGTTTTAACGTTAGAGAAAAGAAAATGACTGTCAGTAGCATATTCTAGTCTAAAAATAGTAGGAAGAATTGTTCCTGATCTTTATCTGAAGCCAACTATGCAAAGTAAATGATCTAAAGAAGTATACAAGCAGAATCTCTACCCACTGTTCCATTGAGAGCCTGTCCTCTAAGAGAACAACACAATAAAAGAAATTTGTACTCCCACTATTATAAAGAATTTATTCTTGTTGTATCTTAAGATGCTGGAAAGAACAACATGATCAGCTTCCCCATCACATCTAACACTCTTAAAATACAAGATAAAGAAACCCAGGAATAATATTACCCCATATATAAAGACAGTTAGTACATCTCATAATCTTAGTTGTACAGTGTTGATCAAGTATATTTCAGCAATTTCTTTCAATTCAGAGTTGTTCTTAATCAAAATAGATTTTCTTTTTAACCCTTTAAAATTTGCACATAGCTATTTAGATCCAATACCCTATATAGATGCAATAGATTATATAGAATATTGGATTAAATGAATCTTAAATTCAACACTGTATATAGATTCAATATCATATATAGTCCTAACTGCATGCTTATTGATTTCATATTATCTTCTCAAATTACTCTTTCCTTTTTTTTGAGACAGAGTCTCACTCTGTCTCCCGTGCTAGAGTGCAGTGGTGCTGTCTCAGCTCACTGCAACCTCCACCTCCCAGGTTCAAGCAGTTCTTGTGCCTCAGCCTCCGATAGCTGGGACCACAGGCACATGCCACCATGCTCAGCTAATTTTTACATTTTTGGGTAGAGACAGGGTTTCACCATGTTGACCAGGCTGGTCTGAAACCCTTGGCCTCAAGTGATCTGCCTACCTTGGCCTCCCAAAGTGCTGGCATGAGCCACCACGCCCTGCCCCCAAATTATTTTTTCTGCATACTTCTACCTGATAAAATCCTACCTAGTCTTCAGAGTCTGCTACAACTACCACTTCTTCCATTAAGCGTTTTTCCATCCCCACATCGGAGTTTGCCTTTGTAATTATTTCGCTTTCAAATAACGTCACATTTATTTTATATTGTAATTACTTGTGAACATGTCTTTCTCTGACCAGACTTTAAGTTTCTTGCTAGTGAAGACTATCTTTTGATGATCTCCATATATCCCCCAGCAGTTCCTAGCAGATAACCTTGCATTTAGCAGGTTCCCGGTAAATATGTTTTGAGATAAAATAAAATAAGCATCTGTCTGACCACATAGTAAGTGACAACACCACCATCTACATTTCTGAAATCCTGATGATTAAAATTTTCCAATCATACTTCTTTTGATAACTAATAAGTAAAACTGCAAATTGCCATATCAAGCAAGTTTTAGGTATCTTATTGATACACCACGGAATGGAATATTGATTTCTTTAATTTGATATTTGCCCCTACCATCGTTTTTTCCCTATGGAACAGTGCTCCTCAATTTGGTTACATGAATTCCTTTTTACAATTTCAGCACTGTATCAAGAACTGCCTCCTGAGATAAAGGAGCGATCCCCTCCTTTAAGCCCCGAGGAAAAAACTGAAATAGAAAAATCTCCAGCTTTTCAAAAGGTAAATGTTTTTAAGAATATGTGTTACATATGTACTTTGATTTTCACTCTCTCTGGATAAAATATTACTTTGTTTATTATCCTTTATTGTTCACATTTTTTTGTCCTGGCACTAACATCATTATGGAATATGTAAGGCGAGTATTATAGTTATTTTCCAGATAAGGAAACTGAGGAGGCTCAGAGAGGTTAAAGTAGACTCCAAGTCACAACCTAAGTGATGGGACAAGGAAC